CCTTTCCATTTCACGCCGCTTCTTTCTTGTTGTAAAAATATCGGCCACAACGTCACCGGGCACCTGTAAGTGTGCTATGATAACATAGCTTGTTCGGAAGCAGTCTCACCATCCCTGTCCTATCCCCGGACTTGTTTGGCGCATTTTTTAAATACCGCTACTACATGCAATAAAAACATTTGATGGGAATATGCATAAAATGCAATGTGGGTATTTTATCACCAGAACTGTCCAGTTATCAGCCTTTGCTATTACCGAAGTATAAATAAATGTTAAGCCTCCCGCTTTAGATTATCCATCTCTAGCAGTTTCCTCTCTTGCAAATATCACTTACTGGTACGTAACATGCACCAGTACTTTTTCAAACAATCTCCGCTATTGTCTAACGAATTCCGCGCAAATTCCAAGCGAAGTAGGAAACTTTTGGGAATTGTAAATCGCAAATCCCGGCAATTCTTAACTTCTTTTTCAGCACTGCTCGAAAGAAATGACCAAAATTTGACAATTCCTAGGAGAACAGCTACGAAATGGTTATGGAAAAGCATGCAAGTTGCCTGTGAGAGGCGAAACGTCGACAGCTCCTCCTGTTTCATAGTCGACAATTGATCTATAAGTAAAGTCATCGTTGGCGAATACCGATCGTGCTCCGCAACTGCACATGCTAACTGGAATAACTTGCCGCTATCCAGTGTGCTTGCCTGTAATAGATACTCATTAATGGTGCCAGCTGACGGTGCAAATCCGTCACTGAGAGGTTTTATCCCTCTACGACTCGTCTTGATTTGCCGACGCATGCTAAGAAATTAGAATAGCAGGTTTTTATTAAGCAACTGTCAAAAAAAGCTGCTGAGAGTCTTGCTGGTCCAGCCAGAAAACAGGCGGAAGGGAAGGGAGAGAAGAAGAGGAAGGAAGAAAAGGGAGGTAGACCAGGGAGTAGGAAACAATTAGCCATGTGCTGCCACTCGGACCACTTTCAGTCCTCCTCATTTTTCATGGTCAATGGGGAATCCGACTTTCTGAATTTTCGAATTCAGTTACAAAACCCAACTCTGTTACAAGAAACTGGACTAGACTTCATTATTAATTTTGCATAACAAATTCTCAAATGGCGTATGAACATAATGCGACAAAAAAAGTGGAACAAACAATTAGCCTTTAGTGCTTATTAACTTAACATCAGACGCAACATCAGACGATACCGGAATATCAAAAAACGCCTAGTAACAGACACTGGGAAGCAAGCTAGAAAGCAACGAGTGCACGACACTGGCATAACTTAAAAGAAATAATTGGCCAATGCATGGGCAGTCCGTGCGAAGATGCGTTTTTTGCATAGTTCCCCGCAGATTTTTGGCGCAAACGGCACTGTTTTTTCCGGCAGATGCTTCTAGCTAAAAGAATTTGAGACTAGCCGCCAGAATATACCTTCAGAATTACAGTCTTCTAGCTTTTCGAATTCTCGAGCTAGCAACTCACCCGAAAAAAATTTTGGGGGCCCGTACGTGGGTACTACACATACTCGAGGGCTGGGTTTGAGCTCATTGAGACTTACGTGGAAGGGGAACATCCCCTTAAAATTTCAGCTTTCTAGCTTTTCTGGTTCTCGAGTTAGCGACTTACCCGCAAAAAAATTTCAGGGCCCATACGTGGTACCACGCGGGTAAAAGCGCCCACTTTGAGGATTGGGGCCCGTATGTCCATGTAGACTAGGTTCCCAAAGTTTCATCTCCGTAGCCATTGTAGGTCTTGAGATGAAAAATCGTGACAGACGCACACACGAACACACAGACACACACAGACAACCCCTCGTCAATATAAGTTTTCTGCATCGCATAGCTGCAAAAAATGCGTAATAAAACGGCTAATCCTGAACACTGAAGAATATTTTCCTTGTGATTCAGCTAGCACAAAAAAAACCGCATCATGCATGAATTCAACCGAGAAAAATCTAGTTTCATTTCCCTTCAAGGCCACTTTCACGAGTCACCAACAATATATTGAGTTAACTGTCACAAAATTTTCCAGCAAGCATTTACTGTAAGCTCTGACTTAACAATCCCACTGTAATGCAAAAAAGAGGTTTCTCGGAAAAAAATATTTTTGATACGGAATCTCATTTAACGTAAAATTTCCTTCAAATTCATGTTTTAATGTCACTGGGCAATCGAATCTAACAGGAAATTCGAAAAAGCGGTGG